CTATATGTTTTATTTGGTAATATCAATATCATCCGTGGAAGTCAATAACCGACAAACCGAGACGGAAAATTTCAGGCAACAAACATGATAGGCAAAGGCTTCTGCTTGGTGATGCAGTGGAAAAGTGAAACTCGTCGAATTAAAACAAGAAGCTTTAATGACATCTGTGACCACGCCCCGTCAGTTTCTGGATCTTCACACATTTACATACAGCAATGGTTAATTTGGTGGACATCTGTATGAATACCTGAAGAATACGAGCTAAACAGCCGAAAGCGTGAATACGAAGAACTTCGAATTGCATGAGATCCCATGCTTTCTTTATGTGGTTGTCTGTCTCTATGAAAGAATGGTAAGCCCTTTTTAGGCTTACTTCTTTACAATTTTTTTCGGCATGACTTGGGAACAGCCATTTTCCACGCACTTCATTTGTCTGGACCTATTCTGCAAAGTCAAGCTAGTAGAACGAGAATCTCAGGCTATTAAGAAGTGGCTAGAGTAATTTTAATTGTATTCCATTTATTTATTTGTGCATGTACGTATTAATTGTACACGTATCACTGAATACAAAACCAGACCACTCATCTACAGTCTGGCCTTGTCACCTTGTCAACTGCCACCGGACTCACGTATACTACTATATCGTCCCACATACATACTTTGATCATAGAAGAAACTCCACAAATAGCAATCGGTGTCAATTTGTGGTAAATCAGTGCCAATATGAATCAACTTGGTTCTGTCTGTTGAACTGAAGCTTCCACACATTGCACTTTGAAGATTTTTGAAAGCTAAGATTGCAAAATCAATCTTCGCAAATGAGAAATATTGTTTGATGTCTTCATGAGTTGTCTCGGTTTATGCAGGGGCTAGCATGTGCTGACTTTTTAGTGTGGCAAAACTGCATTGTTTTTTTTATTACAGCATCACTTTTGACACTCATTAGTATCTCTCCAAAGATAGAAAAAAAAATTTAATTAAGTCTCTTTGAAAAGTTAATTTGCACTTGCACGTTAGATAACCAGAAGTAAATATGGACATCCAAAATTAAAATATGCCTTGGAATTTGCCGTCATTATCTAATGTACAAATATTGCTGATAATTCATCTCTTCGACGAAAATAGAACAATTGAAACTGAAATTCCTCTTTGATAATAATGGACGGCGAGCTACTGTTTGAAAATGAATTTTAAATTAGCTCACAGCGTTCCCAAGGTGGCGAGTGCTTCGGCTGTCTCGGCAGGGCTGACGATGACAGCCCTGCCGGCTGACGATGACGATGGTTCCCCGAAATCTTGATCTTGGTCATGGTGGCAACGCGCTCTAATCTGTTGGAAGTGAATTATTATCCTTATTCATAGCTCTAAAATCTATACGCCTTTTTTTATTCCTAGGAACAATAATTGTGAAAAAGCTTTTGATCCAAAAACAATGTCCTATTTGTTCTCGAAAGTAAACAATGTTTTTATACGAAGATAATCCTAAGCAATAGCTGGCGTGTGATCACTAAGCTATAGGTGGCGTGTGATCACTAAGAATCCGGTTAAGAGAAAAGTTCAGGATTCATTTTCTCCGAGTTATACGTTTTTCTCGTCGGTTCATTTCATCCTATTTTAAATGAAAATGATGAAAATGCAACAAAGCGCAGAAATATTTGTGCAGAGAAAGGTAAACATATTTGCCTAGCTATGAATATATTTATGATGTTTGATCTGTTTGATCTGAAAACTTTGCAATTTTCAAAGATTTTGAATAAGTTTTTTTTTATTTTAATGTTTTTCGTTAATAACTCATAAATGCATTTATTAAAATTTTTAAATGGATTTTACTTTTTTACGTTGAAAATCATTTTAGTCAGCTTAATGAAACATTTCCTTGGGCGGATGCAATCATTAATTGACACATTCCAATTCACTCTTAGAGTTACTGCATTCCTACTTTTTTCGTTGAGAATTATTTCTTTGAAATAAAAATGTGTAATGATCTGGCTATATCATCACGAAACAAAATATATTTAGACTCATTTATAGCAGTTTGAATGCTTCCATGTAATATTGAAACTCAGCAGTGGTGATATTTAATACTGATTTTTACAAATATTCGAAAACACTTGAAGTAATATTTTTACACCGCTTCGTGTGAAACCATATTATAGGTGTTCTTAATTCAATAAATTTGTCACTGAAAGCCAAAAATCTTCTGATGATGCATTGAAAATGAATGAACGGCTTTAAATGAGTGTGCTGAGTTACCTCTAGTTTCCCTACAGTCTATAACAATCGTCACAACAAAACACACCGTCGATCTAGGCCTAAGAGTGAAATGCCTAATCAATATCCGAGACGCCTTGTCAAACTAGGAATCTTTCTCGTCTTATACCCGATATCCGTTAAAGTATCGGAGTTCATATCAATCACTCTTCATAAAAAAACTTTTATGATATTTCATTCAAACTTCTGCCTTGTGAAAATCATTGACTAAAAAAATCAAGTAATTTGCCATCGATGAAAAAATTTAAGTCGGTGGAATTATTTATATTTCGGAACATGTTAGTTACATAATATGTAGTTTTAATCAGATAACCTCTTTAATTTTATTTTATATTGTAGATATATCTCGTGAATTTCAACATTTTGCTGCAATTTTCGTAAAAGTTGGCTAGGATCAAAATAAATGGTAGTTCAAAAATCAATTACTCTTGACAAGTTTTTGATGTCAGTATAAAATCGAAGGCAACATGCCAGTATAATTAAGATGTACCAACAATTTTGTGCACTTTTGATATGCAAAGAATTAAAACGAATTCAGATTAATTTTTTTGTTTTAAAGTTTACTATAAATTCTAAAAATTTCTTCATTTTACCAACAGAAATGAACCAAAAGTAAGGGAATCTTATCTGAGTTCAAAAAAATAAAGACACCCAAGCAGACAAGAGCAGACAGCCAAGTAAATAACACAAGAGATTAGCAAAGAGCCAAAAATCGCACGCCTTCGCATTACGACTCTTTGGAAGAACTGATTGATCTATCCCGATCCCAGCCATTAAGTATAGGAGAGGCAGCTGACGGTTTACTTCGTGCTGTACTTCCCAGTTTACTTTCTAGCCTGGATTTCACAATATGAGTTTTGTAGGCCTATGTTAGAAACGATGCAACCCATGTTTATAGCACGTGACGACATAGTCTTCATTTGTGTTGTTGAAGTCGGCTCAGCCAGTCAAGGTTTTGTCCACTTCCTTAGATTTAGAAACCTGAGTTTAAGTTGACATATTTTACTATATCACCTTGATATTTGAACCTTGGTGAATTAATATGCATATAAATAGATATTTAATGGAAGCAGCACGATACAATTTAATACAGTGCCTAGTCTTGACCATTAATTTGGTCTCTCCATTTTAAGTCACGCAGCAACCTGTTCACGTGTGAGATTCACATGTGTTCACGTATGTTCACAAGATTTTCCTTACGATCAAGTTCAATATTTTTGAGCCACTGACTTGGCGGCTTAACACTTTTGCCCGGAGTCTGTCGTCTTGCCCGAAGCTGTCGACTTGCCCGACGTCTGTCGCCTTGGCCGCTGCTTGTTGTCTTGCCCGACGTCTGTCGCCTTGTCCGACATCTGTCGTCTTGCCCGACATCTGTCCCGTTGCCCGACTTCTGTTGCCTTGCCCGACGTCTGTCGCCTTGCCCGACGCAGTGTGGCAATTCCCAAATTAGGTTCCCCAGTTTTCATAGATGTCAGTTCAGCTGTTACAGAATTGTATTTTTACTAATAACGTTTATGATATGATTAATTCCCAAATTTCTTCTAACTCAAGAAATTCATTCACATTTCAACTGCCCAAAGGACCTACGAGTTTTGTAGGAAGTGAACCAACCGTTTCGAAATTGTTTTTCCACTAATAATTTCGATGATTTAGTACAAAATATCATCTAAGACGAGGAAGCCATTCACTGGCAAACTACAAATTGTTTCTACACATGTCAGTTCAGCCGTTTCCTAAATGCGTGTTCCCGTAATACCTACAATGAGTCAACACCAAATATCACCTCACTCGAGAATTTCATTCGCTATTCAACTGTGGAGTGGCTGCATGAATTTTAAAGATGTTTGTTGACCCGGTCCAGAGTTGGGTTTCCGGTAATAAGCATATTGGTTCAACACCTAATACCACATAACTAGATGAATCAATTGAATTTCTAACTGCGAAGTTGCTACATTAATTCTACATGTGTCAGTGTAGCAGTTTCCTTAATGCGTTTAATTAATGCCACAATTATATTCGTTTAATTAATGCCACATTAATTCTACATGTCAGTTTAGCAGTTTCCTTAATGCGTTTCATTAATGCTACATTAATATTCATTTAATGTGTGCCACATTAATTCTACATATGTCAGTTTGGCGGTTTTCTTAATAAGTTTTATGGTAATAACTACAATGATTCAACACCGATCAATATCATCTAAATCATCTGCATGTTAATCAGCTCACTTAAAACGATTTAAAAGTGATCTAAAACGAAAAAGATTCTTTCTCAGTTTAATTTCACAATTAGCTTGTTCACAGTATCACAGTAATTTTTAAAATCCCACACTGAAAGAACAAAGAGTACAGGTTTCCAGCCGGCTGAAAATATTCATTGCATTTCATTTTGAATCAAGTAATCGCACAATAATCTTGTTAATCCTACTGAATCAGATGAGTGGCAAAACTTGACAAATTTCACTCGAATTAATTTTTTCATACTTTCAGGAGTGGTTACTGAAAATATACCAGATTCATTAATTAAATCAAAATTGCTCATTTATCAACGCAGATTAACCCTTTTGAACCCCTGAAAAAAATGAAGAAATTTCGGCTGTCAGTGTTGTGCACTGGACTCCTTAGTTAAGCTTAATTGTTAATTAAGTTTAAGCGCCAGTCTCCATGGCGATTAGCTAGTTGATGGAATTGAACCGTACATAAGCGTCTTCCTTTTCGTGTTTTTTATCATGTGATAAAAATAAAATTTCTCAGTATATTTTGCAAAAATTTCAAAAGATGGGAGCAGTGAGGAATAGCCAATTACTTGCTTTCAGATGCGTCAACTGCAGGGCCGGTAGAAATAGACAAATAGGTCCGCTTCCTTAGATTTAGAAACCTGAGTTTAAGTTGACATATTTTACTATATTTCACCTTGGTATTTGAACCTTGGTGAATTAACACTGAGTAGATGAGGCACAGCCTTGGGCCACACGTTCAACTCTTAAATTAGCCCTGGAATCAAGGCCCAGCCTAAATATGCAATAGCTCAGCCTCAGAGATAAAAGCCGAAGACCTCGCTGGAACACCGTAAACCAGACCCGTTCTACATTCCTTAATTTACGCTAACAGCGCCGTGAGTCTACAGCCACGCTTATACGCTCGCTCATAAGTACGCAGTTGTGCCTCACCTACTAAAGATTGGTGTGGTGAATGAATGCTGGAGCGCTCATACGCGCTTTGTCAGATTGGTATAAAATTATTTCACGTGTTGGCAGACTATGCCATTCCATACCATTGCCGGGTTCTCTGCTGGAGGCTGGTTGGTCAAATTCTAGGGATTTTTGTTTTAGCAGTTGTGGCTTGCAGCCGATACCGTGGTAGACCAGAATTGTTGGTAGCTGAGTTATTGGAGGAAGTGATCATGTCAGTTCAGTCGGTGCTGGGCATTATCCGTCTCCGACTGGCAACCCATATTAATTCGAAAGCAACTTACATTCTGCTTATGATTCCTACTTCCCACTCATTCAGGAATAGTTGGCAATTATATCTCAATAATTTCAGAATGACACGTAATTTCAAGGTCTAATCCTGCATATCACATAATTACATACAATTTCATTTAGAATTGCATGACATTACATCTCAATATATTTTGGAAAACAATCGACCGTAAACTAATTAGTGGGATTGGCAGGCACCACAGTTCGACCAGTCTTCTTGACTATAAATTTTCGGTCTAAGTGAAAGCTGTCAGACCTTTCCAAGCTTTCCACGGCAGCTGTGAAGGAATTTTACAAAAAATTTTGTTCTTTTACTATATTTCAATTTGATTATATCTAAAAATTAGTAGATCTGTCGGGATAAGAACTAAACCTAAGCGGATGGAACTGGCTTAGGGATACCACTGTACATAACAGGGCTCATATCCACTCTTCCGATCTTGAAGAAGCCATTATCACCCCAGTCGGTGTTCCATGAGTTGGAGCAGAGGTAGTAAGGGAGGTCATTTTCCACTCCATATCCGATAACTTTAACAGCATGTCCACCTAACCACCCTCCCTCAACGTAATGGTAAACGCCAGACTTGAAGTGCAAAAAGTCTTCGTAAATATTGAATACGGCTTCCAGTGGTCCGTGTTCCACAAGATCTCTCATAATATCAGCTTCTGAATTTAGCTGATAAACTTCGCTGGCAAAATGTTTGTCATTTGCATAGGAAGAATTGTATTCCGGGATGCACGAACGGAAACATTGTGGAGTTAAAGTGTCGATATCATCACAGTTTGGTCTGGGACCATCAACGATGTGCTCGCAGGGAGCAACCACATAAGGTTGGCATCCCGACTTGGAGTCGAAACTTCCACCCGAAACGATGCCTTCATCTCGCCAGAAGCTGAAAGCTTTTTCTGGAATACCTCCATTACAACCGTGACCGCAATCACTGCAGCAAGTGAGCACGTCTTCGGCGGAAAAACGGAACTGCGTCTTGAAAGCAATGCAGTGACGATCGGTCATGGCTTCCACAGCAGCGAAAGCCTGTGAAAACAAAGACTGAAGAGATTCGTTTAACGAAAACGGAGAAAATTAAGATCCAAAATAAAATTATAGGCCAAAAGAAGGAGAGGGACAAAACGAAAAGAGATAATAAAAATTTTTTCTCTACGGGGGTAAGTAAAAAACAAAAACAACAATGGGTCGTGCTCGGCGTCGGAGGGACCAGCGCCTAGAGGGAGTCACTACCTGTCAGGCCGGTAACATCGGCGCGCAGCTTGAGCCGTCCGAGATCGGAGACATCTGCAGGTCGGTGAATAGATTTTTATAGTTAAATCTAAAGATGAAGCTTTAGCAAAGAACAATGATTGGCAAAGAACAATGAAATAAGATTGCCAATCTATGATTGGCAAAGACCATAATCGATCATGGCCTCAGTTATCGACGTCTGCGTGGGGACCTCATTGAAGTATACAAGTATATTCATGGTCTTTACAAGGTCCCTGAAGGGTTACTAGAATTTGAAACAAGAACCAACACCAGGGGCCACGGCTATAAGCTAAAAAAACTGCGCTGCAACTTCTCCACGCGACAAAATTTCTTCTCGCTTCGAATCACCGACACGTGGAACAGCCTCCCCGATGACATCGTTGGCGCTCCAAGTATGAACGCGTTCAAGAACAGACTAGATAAAGCTATGGAAAAATATATGTTCAGATTTGAAATGCCTAGCTCCTTATCGAACCCGGTGGAAGTCTAGTAGCTACTTTAAACTATCGTCAGTCATGAAAATATCCGGTCAAATGACACGATTTTAGATCTTCTATGAACAAGGCACGAAAAGGAAAAGAATCGGCGACAGGCCACATCAGGCCTACACTTCAGCGCCGACATCACTATGTTATGTTATGTTATAAAAATAAGGTACTTGCTTTGCGGATGCATCACACGTTATAGTAAGAATTTTATGACTTGATCAGAATAAGCGAGCATTTAACAAAAAGTATTGGCGTCTTTTAGTTCTCGAATTCACACCAGGAAGTTAGTATGATGAAGCACTGCGAAACATAAATATTTTTTGAGAGCTCTGAAAGCAGATACAGAATGAACTGTTTACTTAGCTTAGGCTCGATGTACCGGCCATTTTACTTACAAATTAAATGAAGGAACGATATTTGTCTTTTACTTTTTAAATACAGCAACACATTTCACATTTGGAGACAATTTAGTATTTCTGGACTATAAAGTGCTACTGTTTTTTATATTAACGAGAACTAATTTCCCATCGTTGGTTAGACGAGGCCTCGAACAATAAGCGTCAGGCTGCAATTAACCCTCTATAACGCCATATGTCACTCACCGGGAACGTAATTTTCAAGTTAAATTATATGTAAACTATTGAGTGTAGCAACCTGAGGACGTTTGTACGCAACAGAGAACATTTTAAAGTTGTCGTACGTGGCGGCAATCATCAGTGCAAGTCATTTTGCGCTCAGAGGCAACGTATCCTTCTTGGGATGTAGGTTTGTGCGACTATATAGCCCGGTTACTCGTGTCAGGCGGTAGAGGGTTAGAATACTCACTACCGCTGTAGACTTTCACTGGGAGTTTGTGTGCAGAAGAAGAGCCTTGAAATTGGCGCTCCTCCTTGACCCCCATCATCCTCCTGAGCACGCGCATGGACGTCGAGGTGGGGAAGTTGCGACCCGCCTGTCAGGCGAGATTTTTGTGAGGAAAATTTCATTACAATTGAGAATGTATCAGTATGTGTTATTATAGAAGTGGTATTTCTCGTCAACATGCCAATGAGTACTTTATACTGAACATATGAATTAATTTAATTATACAGATAACTATAAATAAAAAGAAACACTTGTATGGTAAGGATACAATCGAGATTGTACTGAAGGTTTAACAACTGCGTTCTTCCAGGACATTATATGGACCATTATTTTTATTAGGAATTTTCATATATGAAAATGTAAGTCAATTGTACTTAATTTACGAAGAAGATCTCACCTCCCATTTATCGGTCTTTTCGTTGATACGTTGAATGAATTCATCAGATAGCGCATATGGAATTGGTCGAGTTTCGGTCAGGAACGAGTTTCGTTGCGTGGAATTTTTTATTTGGTCAGCATTTAAGTATTTGTTAATGTAGACCTTGATTTTAGGATCGTAGAATTCTCGCAAAATCATCAATAGGAAAAGCATCCCCAACATGTAAATGAGCATCCGAACGACACACAAAAGATTGATGTGGCTCCTGGTGAGGTTCCGCAACCTGAAACATTTAGCAGTTCTTAAAATTTCTTAACAAACTATGCAGAATTTTACGATTATTTGCAGAATTCATATTAAAATTATTTATGAATTTTTAAATATTTCTTAATTTGTCATTTGGGAATTTCCAAAATTTGAATTTAATAATGTATCTGGAATATAAGTTATTAATTGTATAGGTAATCGTAATGATTGATTGTAAGGAATGATTTATGCATGGAGGTAAAATCATTTGACTTCTTTAATATTTGAATTATAAACTTGCCCTGGTTTTGTGTATAAAAATTCATTTATTTTGCAGCACCTGTAGCAGCACTTGCAAAAATGTGATGTAGCACAACGATCATAAAATTTATTATGTCTCTAATTTAATTTCTATCAGCCACATCCACCGACTATCATATTAGATTTGGTGGAGCGTTGAGCATTGCTATTTGTCATTTTAATCAAATTTATAATTTTTAGAAAAAATCCAGATCTCCAGCTAAATTACTTTTATTCATTTCAAGTTTGAAGTTTTTGTTGATCGATTATAATTATTGAAGACATGAAGGTGATAAAAATTTGTTTTATATTCTTCCAATATATTAGAGGAATATCAAATACATATTCGAAAGTCCTTTCTATGAGTGAAGATTACAATTCAAGTAGAACCATTTTCATATTTGGTGCCCAATTTTTTTCGGAAACTGTTTTTTAAAAGCGCACTGATTTTTTGTGAGGCTCGTCACCATTTTTTTAAAATCCATCTTTTCTTCATAGATAGACTACGAAATGTTTAATATAAAATTCAATGTGAAAATCAACTGTGCTCGCACGCTTATTAAACAGACGTAGCTATGATAAACCAGGAAGAAATTCACCGGCGAAATTAGCCACATTTTTATTTCACGAATGTTGCGTATAAACTTCCTTTTTACTAAAGAAAACAATAGCAACAAAAATACTTTTGAGAATGGCTGATTTTCTAATATTTGTGCATAAATTCTTTAAATGCTCACTCATTATCCATGTCGGTGCGTTCATCGGCTGTCTCGGCGGGGCTGACGATGACAATTTTCGCCTCGTCGGCGCGGGGCTTCTGGTCCCCCGAAGTCTTGATCTTGGTCATGGTGGTCACGCGCTGTTGGAAGTGATATATTATTGACCTTCATCCCGTTGCATTTTTACCTTTTTAGTGCATTTTTCACTTATGAAAAAAGGCGCTATTGTGATCGTCATGTCCGTCTGTCTGTCCGTCTAGCTGTCTGTTCGTCTGTCTGTCCGTTTGTCTGTCCGTCTGTCTGTCCGTAACTTCACGTTTTAGTCGACGAGAAATTGCGCTTTCTGTCACTCACTGCAGTGAGTACTGAGTTATATTTTTACCTTATTCAATGAAATCATAAGCAGAACTTGCTAAAAGGTCTCAAAGGTGAAGCAATCCCTCGGTTTTGGTCAGTAATGAATAATTTCGTATCAACGACCATGGTCCGCGAAACCGGACAATTTTAGAATTTATCTAACTTTGCAAGACATTTTTCTTGGTGAAGTGCATTCTATTTCGCATCAATAGCTTGGGAAAAAGCCAAATTATTTTGTTTCACGTAAACTTCTCTAGTAAATCGAACTGTTTTGTTCAAAACTTGATGGAATTATTAGCATTCCCGAACATGTGTGTTACATTTAATATTGTTTCCAACAAATGAAGATGTTATTGCAGAAGTTTCATTCAACAATATTTACCAATGAAAAAACCCTCCTGGCAAGTTATTTGATTTCATATCTAAAATCAAAATTGACGGAAAAGTATGGATGATATTTCCTTTGCTTTAATGAAGCGAACAAAAAAATAAAAAATAAGTAACGTAAAAAATTGACATCATATATATACAAACGTGAAGACAGCTTCATGATGGTAGCAAGATTAGATAGCAAAAGTTTATAATTTCAGTGTTACTAAACGTAAAGTAATCCTATCAATAGTCCAACACAAAGAGACAGCCACGTAAATAACACACGTGTGTAACAGAGAGCCCAGATCCACACAACTTTACCTTACGACTCGCTGGAAGAACTGAACGATCACTCACCACCAACGCCCTTATATAGCGGAAGAAGCAGGCGGTTATCTTCTTGCTAATCTGGCCAGTTTACAATCGAACCCGGATTCCAAAATTCAAATTCGGTAGGCCTATGAATTATTGGTAGTATGATTGGACCAGTGATATGTCAAAAGATGTCTATTAGGTGAAACTATTTCGTAGATTACGTGATAATAACGAAACCATAGGAGTATTAGTGAACGATGGATGCGTTAAAAGAATATTGATACATTACAAAGAATCTTTGACTGTGAATCGTCCAACAACATTTCAAATTCATTTGAAACGCAATCGGAAAAAATCCTAGAGGAATATGAGATATTTTCTTTGTTCTAATTCACAATACATAAAAAAGCGTTTACAGTCGGTGAAAATTCAAATCAACATTTAATTTGCTTCATATAGCCACACTGTTATCTCTTCTAATCATAGTGGATCAAAAAAGACACAATATATTGACGAAACTGTAACCGGTATTAGTTTGTACAGTCCTTTTGAATCCATGAAATGATACATGTTCATTCATTTATTGATCATTGATGAATGTATCTTTGTTTTCTTCTTCATTCAAAACCTCAGTGCAACTATAAATAAGTAAAATTGCCATAAACATTACGTAAATTAAAACATTAATTGTTAGATGTGTTTAGATATAACCTTTGTGACATGCTTTGACCAAACGAATCGATGCCTAGAGTAGAATACAAATAAGAGAGAAGCGATTATCAAATTTACATTGAAGAATGATCTAAGTATGTGATTGCTCTGCTCGGATCGCACTGTTTGGTTTACTGTACATTTGCAAATATTTTGTGTAAGAATACTGTACTAAGTTTATTACCAATACGCGCCGCTGTTACTTTTATATTAAAACAATCATTGCACACACTAACTTTAGTCGTGAAAAACTGTTTGCCATAAACAAACTATAATGATTAAATGAGAAGGAAAGTGACTCCACTCTGCCTTGTAGGATAAGCAAAATAACACAAATAAATAAACATGAAGATAAAAGTATTACAAACATCAAGATAAACGTATCACAAACATCATGATAAATGCATTACAAACATCAAGTTAAACGTATCACAAACATCAAGATATGCGTATTATAAACATCAAGATAAAGTATTAAAAACATAAACACAATATTATTTCATATAAATCCATATAAACACTTATTACAAGCGATGATAACAAACTGCGGACTTTGATCTGAAAATTTCTCTGCAGCCTAACAGCTCAATTTGCTTCCCATGGACTGATGAGAAAAAATGTTTAGGACACTTGACCAGGCAGTACGGAAGGTTTTTTTTTTTTTTTTTTTTGTTTAGCTGTAATCATGCTGGCAACCTTGCACTCCATAAAATTATGGTAATATAATATGGCTCATCCTAAACAGCATCTTCAGTATCAGCCATCAAGTCCACACAAAATTGCGGATGTAAAAACGTTATCACAATTTTTGAGACGAGAGATGGTGCCATCCGCGCTCATATACCTATGGTTTCTGAGCCCTAAGTTGTGCACGTAAAAAAAACAATAATATGGTCCTCCGTGTCTTTCCGTCGTTTATGTGTGCTTGTCAGCAGTGATCCGTGCCCTAAGACCGGATTTAGTTGGTTCCTTCGTTTATTAGTACGAATTACTAGGATCTTGTGACTTATAGGGTAACATGGGGCAGCGAGCCCACTGCGGGTCATGGGCCCACTGCCCCAGGGGTGGGGCAATGGGCTCATTTTGACACTTTTTACAAAATAGTGTTTCATTAAAAATCGAATTACTCTATAGACGTCTAATTCACGTCATACATTCCTCATTAGTTGTAACTTTAAACAAAACAAAGAACTACCTCGTATCAATTAAAACTTCATCAAAAATTTAGTTTAAAAAAGGGGGGGGCGTGCTGCCCCATGTTGCCCTACTTTTTTACCACTGCACCATCCTTCCTTAGTGTTTTTGCTACTGTCGTAGCATCCATTGACATGGACCATTTGTGCCGCCCATTCAATGCTCCTTATTCCTGCCTGACCCAAGCGAATAGGTCTTGATTAAATCTGCCTGAACACTTGACCGACGGCAAAGGCAACCATAAAGAAATTTCACTTCCTTCAGTGACAAAGAACCTCGACGATCGATTCCGGGAAAAAATGAAGTAAGTCATGAGAAAATTATCGTACCAAAAATATGCTCTCTAACATAACTCCTAAACGCTCAGCAAAAATCCTCCAACAACGAGCGAACACATACTAACATAAAGTTCTAGCTTTCCCATATTTACAACTTAGACCCATAAATCGTCCCATTGAACGATCACTCCCGCACTATAATAACACTTCACTCAAAATCTTAGAACTACCATATACATACTAAAATTTAAAATAAGCGTCATCAGGCCGGGAACAATATTTCAATAAAAATTCCCTACAAACTATCAGATGACTTTCACTACCATCTCTGGATAAGGATTATATAACTTATGGCCATAACCAAAGAAACTCAACAATGTCCGATCTGAAATAACTATATCCCCTCTCAGATAAGCTACGTGCATAAACTTCATAGATTTTCATGCCCTCCTAAGTAGATTAAAACCAGTACTATACCTTTTCGTAGACGTGAACGCAGTCCACAACACTCCAGAAGACTCCATCTCAAACTTCACAGGCAAGCAGTCACATACACTCATGGTCCAGAATGAGTAAACTCACGTAGCCTTTACTGCCCCATCCTCATCACACGCAGAAACACGGCATTCACAGTCAGAAAAATCCGCTATATCTTCAATCAGGACCAACAACACACTCAGACCATATCTGTGGAATAATGTCTTATATAGGCGATGGCGGTTATCGAGGCGATCATCACCGCAATCGCAGTCAATCCTACGTAGACGGATTGCAATACAGCACCCAACCACTTTCACAAAGCGAATTGAGGACTACATGAAGACTTAATTTGGATAATAAAATACCCATAATAACTATACCAATGCTAGAAGAATAGATACCTGCTTGATGGACTGGACCGAACTGGAATAACACGCCGTTGGCCAAACCATGTCATAATTATACACCGAATCATCTTCGAAACAGAACACATTCATGAAACGTTCCTATTACAAACGCAATTAATAGAAAGCCACTCTTTTTCATTAACAAACATAAGACCAAACATAACACTCAACAGACCCCTTCAGTCAGTGCCCACATACGTAACTATAATCTGTGCAAGAGAATTAAGCGAAATCCAAACGAAAACTTTCCATTCTTTGTCCAATTTGAAGCCCATAAAAGTCGACGAATTCAGTGCTAATACTGCTCGTTGAAGTTTATTTTCTGTTATTATCGTCTTGCGATAGTCGTTATCTTCGACAATCGTCGAAGTTCAGAAGCAGAAAGAATAGAGGGAACGCTGCTGATATCATAAAACTTTATGGCAGACTATTTCAGTTTTCAAGTCGATTGAGGTCGTGCCGATAAAATGCTTATGAAGGTGAAACTAGGCCAGTAAGCAAAAGAACAGTAAGTAAATTTCTTCTGTTTAATCGAAGGACAGGGGGGACTAAGCTCTTTAAGGATATATACTTAATTTAAATTAATATTGTCTGGTTGTATGAATATTTATTTAACCATGTTTTCAGGCCACTTTATATTGAATTTTTCGGAATCTTTTAATAATAGTTTTAAGAAATGAGCATGCAATTATTCGGGAGAGCAAAACAATATTTTAGGGTGCTGAAGCCCTCTAAAATAGGCCTATAATGACGCCTCTGGTCTAATAATCATTTCCGAGTCCTTGAAACCTGGTTGAATGTTTGAAAGATTTTTGCTTCCTTAAATATGTACGGACGGACATCGACAAGTTTATCGCACAAAGAATTTTAATTACATCGACTTCAACATTAAAATATTTGAATCTTTTCCTTAATGACATCTATTGTTAACATTTCCATTTACCGCATCAGTATTCAGTGTTATGCGTTAAAGCCCTTAGAAAGCGCCACTAGTCTTGCCATGCCTAAGTCTTATCTTATCGCACATGTTTTTCAATAATGTGTTGAAGATGAAAATTCGCGGGAATTTCAAGTGATGGGGACCCAAATAATACTAATCACTGACGCCTACATACATCAACTGCAGGACAAGTGGACGTATATGAACCTAGAGTCTTTGGCTTGGGTTGGAGGTCCTTACCTTGTTTTCAAACTCAGGCTTGAGGCGACGCTGTAATTGCCGCTTAAACTTCTATTGGCAGAGTCTACATAACAAGTTAGCAAGATTGGCGCCAAAAACGCTCTAAAATAGAGCGCAGGTTTCCATCAATATTGGAGCTCAAATTATTTGTGACTTCATTGATACAAATCGCCAGCAACTTAAAGTTCATTAAAGAGTCCTAATTTTTCTTCGCTTCCAAATACTTGGTAATTTTATCTCAATTATTTCACAATTTCACGTAATTCTATAGTCTAATCCTGCATTACATAGAATTATTTCTCATCTCATTGAGCAACTCATTGAAGCTCATTGCATTTTGAATTATGTGGAATTCTATCAAAATTGCATGGAATTTTTTTACACGAATAGCAAATTGAAGGAATTTAAAAGCAAAGAAAACGCCAAGAAAATTCACCATATCGATATTGAAAACGTTTCGGAGTCCAGTTCCATCATCAGCTCGACTAAACTAAAAATGAATAAAATCATTTTATAAGTCAAAATTCAAAGACAGACATAAAACCTAAACAAGACCTAATCATTATATCGAAATAAACAGGACTAGATTGGAACAACTTAGTCCTAGGGGTACGACAAGAATATAAAATCCTAGCGATTTACTATTTCCAGATTATATTGTCGGGCCTGTGAACTAAACGCATTATTGAGACATGGGTTTTGTTTGAAGATATGTAGAGACTCCAAAATTCTCAAATCCGAGCAGCCAGAAGTGGAACCGAGTATCCTGAAATCACTCTCAGATACAGCCACGTCGCACTGTTCAGCATGGAGGCGCACGGAAGAATGAGGAGGCTTGGCGAGAGGCAAGTTAGAACGATAGCTCCTGCCACGGTGTTCAGAAACACGGATGTAGAAGTTACGCGACGTCATTCCAACGTACGTAGATGCACAGCATGCACAACTGAACTTTCAAAACTCGCTAAGGGAACGTAAGTACTTACGCTCTGTTTTCTTGCCTATGATTGGTGGATTTTGCTTGAAAGGCCGTCAATGATTGGCGGATGAACCTATGATCTCTTAACTTTTTTTGAAGGTATAGGCCCATGTTTGATTGCATCCGAGCAGGAATAACGTCCTTATACCTGAAGAAAGAACCAATTTTGAAATTATTTACTAGTAAAACATGCAAATTTATATTCGGGAAATATTTCAAACACAACATCTTTAGTTCTTTGGACATAGTTTCAGACGCACTACCAAAATAGGGCAATGTGCAATAAATAATTTTCTTACTATCGCATTCAGTCACAGGTTCAGAAAATTTGTTAGATAAGAAGCGTTTGATTTTACTATACACAAGGCACGATGGAAAACCATTAAGCTGAAATATATTACGAATGAAATCGAATTCCAAATGCATATCATGAAAAGTAGAACACACCCTATAGTCACGGTATATCAAAGTTTGAAGACTATTCAATTTGAAACGAAACGAGCAGAAGCTAAAGAAGCTCAAACGCAAGCCGCAAGCCGGTAAATGTCGGTTTTCGATATACGGAAGTCTGAAGACGACCGCCGGATTTTGTGATTTTGCAATCGAGAAACGACAAGCAATTGTTGGATTCTAATTCCATAATGAATTTTACTGAAGGATGTTTGAGGTTTAGATAATCAAAGAAGAGGCCCGGATCAGAGGGATGCTTGAAGATCAGAAATGTATCATCAATATACCTATTATAAAAAATCGGTTTAAAATCAATGGGACAATCGGCCAACCAAGCATTCCGAGCAGGAATCGTTATTCATGCTCGGATGCGATCAAACCTGGTCTATGAGTTCAGTTGTGCACGCTGTGCATCTACGTACGTTGGAATGACGTCGCGTAACTTCTACATCCGGGTTTCTAAACACCGTGGCAGGAGCTATCGTTCTAACTTGCCTCTCGCCAAGCCTCCTCATTCTTCCGTGCGCCTCCATGCTGAACAGTGTGACCTGGCTGTATCTGAGAGTGATTTCATGATACTCAGTTCCACTTCTGGCTGCTCGGATTTGAGAATTTTGGAATCTCTACATATCTTCAAACGAAACCAGTGTCTCAATAATGCGTTTAGTTCATATAATCTGGAAATAGTAAATCACTAGGATTTTATATTCTTATCGTACCTCTAGGACTAAGTTGTTCCAATCTAGTCCTGTTTATTTCGATATAATGTTTAGGTCTTGTTTAGGTTTTATGTCTGTCTTTGAATTTTGACTTATTAAATGATTTTATTCATTTTTAGTTTAGTCGAACTGATGATGGAGCTGGACTCTGAACCGTTTTCAATATCGATATGGTGAATTTTCTTGGCGTTTTCTTTGCTTTTAAATTCCTTGTGAACTTGCGATATAAGCAGACTGATAATATAAGTAGCAAATTGAATGTTCGATCGAACCCAGCTATTCGAGTATTGGCTGATTAGCGCCGTGGCAGACATCGCAGGTCTACAATTCCTCGGAACTATAAATAATCAGACGATGTGGAAATTTTCAGGCTTATCCGATCATTTGAAGTTAGCTGAGAAGGAAGTCTAATGAAACATATTTTCCTTTTATTTCATTTATTTTTACATAAATAATCACATGCGTTGTTAGTCAGTAACCATACCACACTGAACAATAGCCTGGTAAACAGAGAATAGAGACATAAAATAAACTAGACGTTGTCGAGTATCAATCCTCTCGGGGAGACAACGTGTTTCAATTGCCCAGACTGAAAATGAGATCTGTTGGGCGAAGAGAAAAACTTAAGCGGATGGAACTTGCTTAGGGGATGCCAGTGTACATTGCATTGTTCATTTCATCTCTTTTGATCTTGAAGAAGCCATTGTCACCCCAGTCGGTGTTCCAGGAGTTGGAGCAGAGGTAGTATGGGATGTCATTTTCCACTCCATATCCGATAACCTTAACAGCATGTCCACCTAACAGGTCTCCAGAAACATGGTGGTAAACGCCTGACTTATAGTGCAAAAAGTCTTCGTAGACATCGAATGAAGCTTCCAGAGGTCCGTGTTCAACAAGATCTTTGAGAATGTCATCCTCTGAACTCAGCTGGTAAACTTTACTGGCAGAGTGTTTGTCATCAGCATACGACGAATTGTATTCCGGAATGCACGAGCGGAGGCACTGTGGAGTGTTGAAATCGATATCATCACAGTTTGGTCTGGGGCCATCAACGTGGTGTTCGCAGGCAGGCACCACATAAGGTTGGCATCCGGTCTTCGATTCGAAATTTCCACCGGAAACGATGCCTTCGTCTAGCCAGAACGTGAAGGCTATTTGTGGCCAACCTCCATCACATCCGTCACCACAGTCAGTGCAGCAAGAAAGGAGATCTTCGGCAGAATAATGGAACTGTGTCTTGTAGGCGATGCAGTGACGATCGGTCATCGTTTCCACAGCACCAAAAGCCTGTAACAGCAAAGATTAAATTAAAAAACTTCATATGAGAAAAGAGTCAGCACATCAAGGTTCAAAATACATATAAAAAAAATAATGAAAAAAAACTTGAAAAAAGAGCAACAGCTCATAAAAATATTAGATGAGCTTGAGATGAATGCCGGTTTAGACAATTTCTCAACACATCTCTGATAATTTCCACATTGTTGAAGATCAGTCAAGATCAACTAATGTTACGATAAGACTTACGACATGATTTGGATTGAGATGAATAATTTTATCATCGTGGACATAAAATCTCAAAAATATCTTTGTTTGAGTCTATGTAGATATAAGATATAAAACAAAAAATGTCTATAGAGTCTTATACGAAAATACTTTGCAGAAGAACTAATAATAACCAGAATTAAATTTTCATCTTGGGCTGCACACCGAAGCTAAAAAAGCTTTACCTCCGAGTCCTGAAGTGATAAAATATTTCAATAGAATTTTTTTAATAAAGTGACCAATATGAGAATGAAGAGTATGAGAGCACAAAAATTGTATAAAGGAAGTAATGAATGAAGTCAACAATGGGTCGTGCTCGGCGTCGGAGGGACCAGCGCCTAGAGGGAGTCACTACCTGTCAGGCCGGTAACATCGGCGCGCAGCTTGAGCCGTCCGAGGTCGGAGATATCTGCGAGTCCGTGAATAGATCATTTTAATCATTTACATGAAAGAACGAGGATTGAGAAAATTTTATATGAATGTTAAAAAAATGTGTATGACTCGCACACCGACATGTGGAACAGCCTCCCCGATGACATCGTTGGCGCTCCAAGTATGAAACCGTTCAAGAACAGACTAGATAAAGCTATGGAAATATATATGTTCAGATTTGAAATGCCTAGCTCCTTATCGAACCCGGTGGAAGTCGAGTAGCTATTTTAAACTATCGTCAGTTCTGAAAAGATCCGGTCAAATGACACGATTTTAGATCTTCTATGAACAAGGCACGAAAAAGAAAAGAATCGGCGACAGGCCACATCAGGCCTACGCTTCAGCACCGAGATCACTACGTTATGTTATGTTTAATCTGCAATTAACTCAANATGTTATGTTATGTTATGTTATGTTATGTTATGTTATGTTATGTTATGTTATGTTATGTTATGTTATGTTATGTTATGTTATGTTATGTTATGTTATGTTATATTATGTTATAACGGACGCATTGCTCAATCTTAAGTAACATCACGGCGTGATGTGCCAATATGTTACCAAAGTGTACAAGTTAAGGATTCTAGAATTCAGACTTGTAAGCATTAGGTAACGATTAGTCATGATAAAGAAAAATTATTTAATTATCATCCAGCTAGCGTACCATCAATATGACTGAAATTTAAAGTGAGTAGTGGATATTTCCATTTCCATTCATTGCCTTATTCATGCGGCATCACATACTGTCATCGGGGAAAATTTCGTACTCCTAAACTGATAAACATACATCTTTTTCGACTAAATTATCGCAAACTAATTTTGCATCGGTGTTTAGATTTCCGTTGCTTAATAATTCGCTTAATACTCACTACCGCTGGCGACTTTCAATGGGAGTTTGTTTGCAGAAGAAGAGCCTTGAAATTGACTTTCCTCCTTGACCCCCATCATCCTCCTGAGCACGCGCATGGACGTCGAGGTGGGGAAGTTGCGACCCGCCTGAGAGTGTGGGGTTTTTGTGAGGAAAATTTCATTACAATTGGGAATGTACCGATAGGAGCTTTTTACAAATCTGATAATTCCCGTCGTTTATGTTAATGATAATTTCTGAAACAAACAAACAAATTTATAAATGAAATTATGCCTGTAGTACAAAAAAGTGCAAAACTTTAATCAAGTGGGTTCAGAGGAGATTGTTTGAATAATTTCACAAATTCATTCTTCTTGGATCATTAAATGAACATGAAATTATTACTATGAAATTTATAACATGAATGACAATGCGGGTCAAGAACATTTAATTAATGATGAAGTTCTCACCTCCCAACTATCAGTCTTATCGTTGACGTATTGAATGAATTCGTCAGATAGCGCGTAAGGGATTCTTCGAGTTTCGGTCATGAGCGAGGTCTGTTGTGTTGAATTTTGAGGCTGGGAGACATTGAAGTATTTGTTGATGTAGACCTTGATTTGAATATAGTTGAAAATACCCGAGTACGTTATTGTGATGACCATTAATAGCAGAAGCATTAGCCAGCTAAAGGCAAACATAATGGTGGAGTATTTCGTCATGAGGCTTCGCATCCTGAAACAAAAAACAGGATTTATAGAATTATTAAAAAAATAAAGGAAAATTAAACACTTTTAAAGCTTTCCTTTCAGGAGGCGATTATGGATGACAAAGAGTAATTGAAACGTTGGTAGTTTATCTTATTTTTAATTATATGAATCAAATTCATCGAAAAGTGTTTGAATGAAGGTAAAATCGTTAATAATTTTCTTTTCTTGAATTATATATTGGTCCATGTTTGTGAAAAAAATCGTTTTACTCGCCGAAACTGTCATTAAAAATATACCCCTTCTATCTGCATGACCATGGCAAAACAATATGACCCAATCTAACAATTATTCAGTAATTACACATTATATGAATAGGCTCTTGAATGGAAGGATAAGTGAACCCCAAATGAGTTTAAACAGAAACTTTAATGACAGTTGTGGCCGGACTTTAGCTCTAAGTTTCTATTTTCTTCTGTAACCTTGTCAATTTCTGGAACCTCAAGCATTTACAACAATGATTATTTTTTCGACATCTATCTGTGTGAACATCTGAAAAATTTGGGTTAAGCATCCGAAAGAGTGATTGCGAGAAATTTTGATCTTAATGAAATCACACATGTTCTTCCTGTCGTGGCATTGACAGTGTGAATGATAAGCACTTTCATTGGTACGACTTCACACGAAATGTATTTCATGATGGAAGTAATGTATTCTTCGAGTATGATTTGCAGCACCTGTGAGCATCTCTTGTGAAATCATGAAATCGTACATTTGATGATGCTCCATCTGTCACCTCAACCTACTATCATCTTTAATATGGTAGAACTTTGTACATCATCAAATAATAATTATGGCTCCGATCCTATTTATTTGAATGATTTTCAATGTAATTAGTGCACATATATACTAAAAATAATGCTAATTTCAGGGCAGTGAAGAAATATTACTCCCTTGTGTAAATTTTTTTTCAAGAAAACATCAAATAACAGAAATATTCGTTTAAGGATAGGGCTAGGTTACTTGAAGAAAAAATTCTGACTTTTTTGTAAAGAGCAATAATTATTTACGAGACTCATCAAAATTCTTCAAAATTTTCATTATCTCTGTGAAATTACAATAAAAATAGTCTAATAACACATTCAGCTTGAAGTTCAATTGTGCACTCTGGATCCGTATCCAGAAATTGAGACGCAAAGCAAAAATTACGATTTGCCATAAAACTACATACATTTTTATTTCACGAACATTACCGATATAGAACAAAATTGAAACGGAAACTCTTCTTGGATAAGAAAATTTCACGAACTAATATTTGAATGTGAATTCTGAATTAACTTACTGCACTGTCATGGTGGTGCGTTTGTCGGCCGTCTCGGCGGGGCTGACTATGACAATTTTCGCCTCGTCGGCGCGGGGCTTCTGGTCCCCCGAAATCTTGATCTTGGTCATGGTGGCCTTGCGTTCTACTCTGTTCGGAGTGAAATATTATTAGCATTCATGCCTTCGAAATTTTATACCATTGGTATTCTAAAAGATCAATAATGTTGAAATATCCTCTTGACTAAAAAGAGCTTCGGCATAAATATTTATTTTACGCCAAGATATTTCAGGTAGCAATAAGATATTAGGACTAATTTTTAGACTGTGCGCTTTTTTCTCTTTCAAATGAAAGAAAGCAAAGAAATTTCAGTCAAGCGGCCGATAACACGCGACCTGAGGTGACCGTTCAGCTCCACGTGCTTCTCAGTACATAAGATCTTTATGTCGTTTGAGACAAAAAATCTAGAAAATGCAAAAAAACTTCGAAAACGGTATTGTAAGTATAGGAAGCAACCTATAAAAATAAAGCTATGAGAGCCCTTAGAACTGTAATATATAAAGCATCAATTCACTCCGGTCCCGCATTGAATTATTTTCGTTTAGATATATTAATGTTATTACTAATAAACCAAAAGATCTTATTAATGACATTTCTTAACAACAAAACTCATAATGGGTGGATAATCATTTCAAATGTCTTACGTACGAACTGTTTCCGTTGTGCTCCGATGATATAATCTCAAACAATTAAAAAACTATTAACTAAAAAACCACTAACTTGAAAAAAACGAAATAGCTACACAATGTCATAATTCGGCCCTTTGAATATTATTTATTGGGAAACTATTTTTTTCCATGATGGTACTTTTGTTACGATCTTGTTCTATGATAATGGTACGAAAGACATTGCGAATAATTTATTGCAGCTTATAGACACAATTGACTATTTTGGATGAGAACTGGAAATTTTGATTTACGTACTGAAAATCAAAATGACTGACAAAAATACGTATTTCTAGCCGCCAAAGAAACCGTTGAATTAATTTTTGCATTCTGTTTGGATGTTTAATTCATATTATAGGTGATCTGATTCCATGAAATTCATCACGAAAACATATTATTGATTCAAAATAATTCACAATAGATGAAGGAATAGATGAACGAGTGTCGCCACGTGGTTCACAACACGAATCGTCTTGGCAAAGAGCCTCATCGATAGGCCTATGAGAAAAGGCCCGGCCAATAACAAAGACTTCAAGTTAAACTAGAAATCTTTCTAGATTTTTACCCGGTATCGGAACAAATATCGAAGCTGCTGACGTCTATTTCGAATTGAATCTCTGTGAAACCTGTTAAGTTGTGTAAATACTTATTGGTTAAGGAAATTGAAATTTGATGAAATTATTTACATTTCCGATCATATAAAAGTTACAAATAATGAAGCTTGAATAGAACGAATACATCATTTTCGTCATATTATTTTAGACATTCTGCTTAAATGTTTTGCTTAAAGGAAAAACATTTGCGATAATTTTCGTACAAGTGGACTCAAATCAAAAAGATTTAAATTAAATCCAGCTAAATTAACCACTCTTGACAAGTTTCACAAAAAATTGAACCCAACAAATTAGCATGAACGATTTAATTTATGCAGCTTCAGATTTAGCTATTAGCTAACATGAAGCTCTAGAATTAATGGAAACTCTATAGCTTCAAATTTTGCTCTAAAGTCTGGAATCAATATGTGTAAAATTTAAACCTAAATAGTAAAAATAACGAAATTCATCAAAATTCACACACGAACGACACACAGAGGCAGCCAGGTGAGAAACACAAAGCTAGAGCTAGCAGAGAGCCTATAGCCACACAACTTTACCTTACGACTCGCTTCTCCAACTGATCGATCACTCCCGACCCACGTCCTTATATAGGGGAGGAAGGTGGCGGTTATCTCCTTGCTGATCTGATCAGTTTACGATTGAACCCGGATTTTACCATAAATGTATAGGCCTATGAATTATTGATAGTTTGATTGTGCCAGTGTTTTTTCTTGATAGATGACTATTGTGTGAATTTCCTTCATATATTGGCTTGATAATGAGGAAGCGATAGGGAAGTTCAGTGAACAATCGATACATTATATATGAATATTTTTTAATTATTAAAATCATTGTTTGCGGAATATTCAATAAATTTAAAGCCCGCTTTAGATGTAATCTAAACTTATCTAAACTAAATTATAAATTACATTCCTAGTTGCAATGCGCGATGAATTATTTATGTTGAACAAAATATGAAGTTGCGAGGACCAAATTCCAAGAACACACAACAAGACCCCCAGAAATCTGGTAATTTGTAATAAACTTCAATTACTTTATGGAAATTATCTAACTGTTATATCATAAATTATAACGATGGATATACAAAACAATAAAATGTAACAAAAAATCCCATGTCTTTAAAGAAAACGTGTCGGATTCCAAATATATAATTTGTTTGTAAATTCTGCACTGCAAATGCAATCACTTAGTATGATCGAAATTGCCAGAACAGTTGTTTAAACCTAATTAATTAATAAATGACATTGTAAAAAACATATAAATCTATCTATTTACATCTAATGTGGTCAAAAACTGAAAGCAATAATGATATTCGGTGCAGCACGATGCGATTTTGCAACCCAGGAGCAACACCATGCATGCATGCGCGCTGACGTGTCAAGCGCCTTGCATCATGCACAGCATCAACAAACTTCTGTTCAGACTCGTTCACCTTGCGTAATCATTGTTCAGTGCATCCTTGAATAAGCTAGAGGTTGAACTTGAAAAAACCCGTTTATACTGATAAGCTGCACCTATCAATATGAAAGCCGATAGCAACTGCATGGAAATTTTATGATCTCAATGAAATTTTATGGAGGAGTAGTTCAATCCTTAAAATTTAGATCCGTCAATTACTTCACAGGTTGAAGGGAGCAGGCGGGTGTTTACAATAACGTGCGTAAACTAGACGTATTACCATCGTAAGGTCCACTCAATAGACTATTACACACTGTAAGTTCTCAGCGCAAGTCGCCCACTCGTTTATTCGCAGGCCGGTCTCAAGATTATCATGGAAGACTTGTTTCTCATTGAGATAACTTTGATCGAAAATGGATGCACACGACAGAGATGTAAGTGGAGCAAAGCAATTGCTGTGCACTGGAGCGCAAACGTCTGATCTCGAGAACGGAAATAACATCGACATTCTCTCAGATATCGAGTGGATCCGACCGGATCAGGAAGATCCAAAATTCAACATTGAGACAAGGAATCTCATTCGTCTTGTCTCTGATATGTTTATTCAGACTCGCTTTGAACGGTCACAAAATTGATTCACAAAGAAAGTGTGAAGAATAAGTCTTTGCGATGCTTTGATGCCTGAGAGACCTTGAAGTTATTTTATGGAATGTAAATAAATATTCAAGTTTACATTTTGCTGAGCCCGATCTTATAGCGTGCAATTGGAATTTCTACAATAATAGGTCAAACACTTATCACAGTTTAATGTTTGATGAAAAAACATTGTATTTTTGCTAGTCGAATTGAGAAGTTTTAAAAGCAAAAAATTCTAGTATCTGTAGATCTTAATATAAATTTAATTCGCGTCTTAAAAACTGTGAGACAATTGCAAGCTCTGTGAATAAAATTATAGAATAGAATAGAATAGAAGTGTCGGCGTTGAAGACATAGGCCCATGGCCTGTTGCCGATTCTTGAACTTTTCGTGACTTGATTCATAAGGGATCCGGCCTTTGGAACCCGATCTTTCCATAACTGACGATTGATTGAGATAGCTGCTGGACTTATTGCCTGCTCCTTAATTTGCTAGGCATTTCTAGTTTTTTACCTTTTTACTACAAATTCATGGAATAGTTGTAAATGTTTGCATACTATAGCAGCAGCAATTGTAGTTTGTATCAAAGAGTATGAATTAGTCACCTAGATGTTTGCAGATTACTTTAAATTTTAGATTCAGATTTACCAAACCATCGTCTCTTTCAAGCCGTTAGCTCCTGTTCATAATTTTTCCTAACATCTTATACTGAAGTTGGAACAAGTCTTCTGCAATGAAAAAAATTTTCATGATAATAACGATTATTCACCAATAGCGCCAAACAAAGTCCCACGAAAATGACTAACCGACGGCCGACCGTGCGGCAACTATGCTCGTATTGATACCAACATGAAAACAAATATCTTAAATATGCAGAAATTCGGCACTCCAATCATAGATAAATAAATATCATCACATCGTATCCTAAAACTACTGCAGGCATGATGCAGGAATGTTGCAGTGGTCTCGGCAACATGCTTTGGAATGCTCGCAGTCTGGGGAATGCGTCACAAAGCCAGAGGACCAGAACGTCAAAGGACTTTCTGAGGATGTGATTGATCTGCTTTGACCGCGCTGACTCAAGTCTGGCCTTATTCACCTAATGCATTTACTGCTAAGTTAATATTTGGTTATTTCCTCTTCATAGTTACCTCATATCCCACTTTTGTTCCGTTGTTCACTCATTATTGTGTGTCTCGCTTTTGCTCAGATCATAAATCATAGCGATCGTTAAGGATTTTAATATCGAATCAAAATTTTGTTTCATATTTATATTTATCTAAAAAAAGTTGTCTGAGTAATAATGGAGGCTTTTCGTGATGAGTTCCTGTATGAGTTACTGAAAATTTCAAAGCCACATTTCGACATTACGGATTGCGTTCAAATACATGACATTCACTTCAGGATAATAGGTAATTACCTCTTATTAATTTCAGAATTGCACGTAAGTCGATCACCTAATCCTGCAATATGTATAATTTCATCTCATCTTATTTAAAACTACATGACATGTCATTCCATTTCATGCAGTTCAGTTTACACTCATTCCCACTTGAATCAAGTCATGGGGAATTTTACAAGGGGATAAAAGGGCATTAGGCATCATTATATTCCGAAAAATAATTAGCATGTACAAATACAAATTTGTATGCCTGTAGGAGAAACCTAAAAGGTTATTTTCGTAAATTTCAAAATTGTACAAATGAGTATTCCAATCACATGCATGGCACATGCACCGTGCAATTTTCAAATTCGTCACGCAGTCCATAGCGAAAATATCCCGACTAACATATTCAACTACTGTTTGTGTAAAATGACTGATATCATCCATTGTTGCTGGTAGAGCAAGAATATATATAGGTACGTCTTTGATTCGCGCAAATGTATCTTTTTTAGGACAGGAACATAAGCTATTTAGTTGAGAAAAAAATACACACAATATTGTCTGTTCAATCGTTGGCTGCTTGGCATCTTTGTCACGCATTTTCGTAGCGCATCTTTGTCATGCATCTTTGTCACGCATCTTTGTCATGCATCTTTGTCACGCATCTTTGTCATGCATCTTTGTCACGCATCTTTGTCATGCATCTTTGTCACGCATCATTGTCATGCATCTTTGTCACGCATCTTTGTCATGCATCTTTGTCATGCATCTTTGTCACGCATCTTTGTCACGCATCTTTGTCACGGATCCGTCAAATAAAGTGCTTCCAGGTAATTTTCTGAGCTTCACATGGTATCGGTAAAAAGTCTGAAAACGCTTTCTTTCTTCTAATTTACTTGATTTTTGTGGAAATAACCAAAAGTGTACAAAATCAGTCGGCAACACTGAGCACCCTGAGCAAAGGTCTGGTGTCCAGAGAAGTAAAATAATACGGAATAGACGTTTACAACCATCAATTATCTCGGTTATCTGTTTCATTCAGTCTTGACTAAAAATTATGTCTGTGGAGGATAAGCTACATCTAGAAGTATGTCAGCGGACAAAGCCAAAACTATGCAAATTAAAGTGGCTTTGGGAGTCCAGTGTACCTAAGGCGGTCCAGGTTATCTCGTTTGATCTTAAACCATTATCACTCCAATCCGTATTCTAATAATTGGCGCAGAGGTAGTAAGGGATGTCATTTTCCACTCCATAACCGATAACATAAACAGCATGTCCACCTAACAGCACTCCATCCATATGATAGTAAACGCCAGACTTGTAATTCAAAAAGTATTCATCTACATTTAACGTAGCTTCCAGAAGCCCATATTTTATAAACATCTTTCATAATTCTACCTTCCGAAATCAATGAATATGCTGTGCTAGCGACGTGTTTGTCATCTGCGTAAGATGAATTGTATTCCGGAATAGCAAGAACGGAGACACAGTGGAGTATCGAGATCGAGGTCATCACAGTTTGGTTTTGGGCCATCAACATGGTATTCACAGGTAGGGCTCTCGTTTAAGGTTGGCATCCCGACTTCTTCTGGGCCATGCAGTGACGATCTGTCATAGTTTCCACAGCATCTAAAGCCCGCGGAAGCAAAAATTGGAGAGATTCGCTGGAAAAAGACTTGGCGCATTGGCTAAAGTTAAATCGATGCAAGCGTAGCATTTTTCAATCGCGTTGGAGTATTTTCCAGTCTTTGTGAGGATCGATCTGAAGCAATTTGGGTACACCTTACCTTACCTTATGACCTTATGATGAGTTCGGGACTTCCTAGTCCCAGGTCACGCTGATGCGCCGCCTTCGTCGTCCTCCGTCTCCGAGTCGTCGTCGGATGTAACGTTGGACGTGTTCCGTCTATTTGC